GGTCCTTTCTACCCAACAGCAACATGACTAGAACTGGGCCGTTGAGTCCATGGAACACTGGTCAAAAAACTGACATTGTGACTCTAGACAACTGAACTTTCCCTCCCAAAATCAGTTGAGTTGTGTCATTTTTGGATTTTGGGTTTATCCCTTTCTGCCTTTCCCAGCGAAACTGGCTGAAATGGCTTGCATGTATTATTTTACGCATTCTTACTGTTTGCTGGTTGATCGCTGTAAGTCCACGTGACTCTTTTTTTAAAGCGCTAAATGGCATCCATTTATTCTTCTACAGTGTTGTGTGGCCTTGCTTGGAAAATGTTGTTGTTTGGGTTAAAGGTGTGTTTGTAAAAAAAAAAAAAATCAGAAAGATAGAAAGTTGCCTTTGGCTGACTTAAACAGTTAGCCCATACTGTTGTCCACTTCAGAGATGGGCACATTTATTTTTATTTTTTTAAATATTATGTTGGGAGTTTATAGATGCCTCGTCTATGCCTCACTGATTTTGCATCTCCCTCGTGGCAGCCTGCAGTGACTATTTATATTTTTTCCCAGCCTTACCTGAAAACGCCGGAGGTTGAATCTAGGATCCTCTGCAAACAAAGCACATTATGCGCCCTATGCTACATATATCCAAACAGCTCTAGCTGGGAAATGGCTGCATGACGCCTTAATGCCCAGGCATTGACAGGCATGTGTGTTGAGGGACGTGAGATAACCACTCTGCAATTCAGCCTCTGAGTCTTTGAGACGGAATCAGGTGGAACAATTGAGTTCTACCATCTCCTACCAGTGGCGTTCTAGCAAGGCCCCTTCCCACGCCCGAAATGAAATAAAATAAAGCCATAGAAGGGTTGAGGGGATAGCTAGAATGTGCACCATTGTGAGCAGAGGAAGGAATCAAATTGTACCTGATACACACACGTACACAAACACATGCATACACAAACACACACATACACACATACATATACACAGACATATATATATATATTATCTTATTTCCTGGCATTTCCTTCCAAGGGTCTTTTGAACCATCTCAAAAGTGCAAGATGCATCCAATCTCATCAATACTTTTATGGGGTGGGGGGAAGAAACAGAGAGAAAGTGAGAGAGCGCACAACTTATGAACGGATGGGTGGAAAGCAAAAATCCCAGGGCCTGGAACAGCTGATTGGAGCCCTCGTGGATCTTCTGCTCTTCACTTTTGCATCCCAGGTGGACGTCTAGAAGGAGACCAAGACCTGAAGACGTTGGTTGTTAATAATTCTAGGATCTGGGTGGGGGCAGAAGGGGCAAGAAGGCTGTAGGCCTTCTGAATCAACACTGTGGAATCCCCCTCCGTGTCTGGGGCATCTGACCTCTTACCCAACGTCTAGCTGGACAGTTCTACCTGGGCATGAACAGCTGTTGGGTGAACAGAGTTGGGGGTTTCCATCTGTGGTTCTCTCTCCTGACACGTTTCCTTATCTATCCAGTAGTTTGCAAGTGGCAAAGCTTGTGCAAACCGAACAATACCAAGGAGCGCTTCAGATGGAAGATCTCACCCTTTTTGGGGCAGGAGGGGGAGAGTTTTATTCTTCCGTTATCAGGAGGAGTTGCTGACTGTGCCCAGGTTGTCACGACAACCAGCCCTGATGCAAAGCTGCTCTGAAAAGTCTGAACCTCCGGCGACGAACCAGCCCCTTAAGCTCTCAGCAGATGCTCAGCCCCCGGCCAGCCAATCACGATGGAGCTGGGAAACCATGACATCATAGTCCAGCCAGTCCAAAACTTGACTGTTGAGTTTTCCATGCCATTCCTGCTCCTTTTTTTTTTTTTTTTAAATACACCCTCTGTTGTAAAGGATCCTCATCCGTGCAAGGCAAAAACTAATCTTGCAGGATCGCTCGTCTGACCCTTTGCGTCGCTGGTAGGTTGAAAGAGCTGTTGTCACAGACTCCAGAAAAGAGCAGTGAAATTAGGGAGAGAAGCCTTTTTTTCCCCCTTCAGCAACTTGGATCTTGCTCTGACATTTTCCAGGAGCCCGGATTGTTGCGACAAGGAACATGACCCCTGCTTTTTATGTGGTCAGAAATGTTCTCCCCATTTAGCCTCGAAGGGGCTTGCCATGCACTTCTGCGCCCCTCTCTTGCTCTCTGCCAGCCCTTGACTGTTACATATTTAAATGATTTTGAATGGGAAGGTGCCAAGAAAAACAGCGACTTCTAGCATCATTTGGATTTACAATTTTCTCAGGCCTCTGGGTGGGTTTACTTCCCCCACCACTTCCAAAAGCAAGATTGGGACAAAGAAATGGGCAGGACAGGACCAAACCTTAACCTGATTTAATTCATTCTGTTAATGTATAATGTAATCCTTTCCCCCTTGTGTATTTAAGGCCACATTCAGAAGTAATCAGCTTAAATCTAAATCTAGTGGCTGCTTTCCCACATGCTAAGGCTGGTCAGTATTCCCCTTGGCTAGGTTTTGTGTGGTTTACCGTCTTAGGTAACTAATCTGGTTTAGCTAGCTTATGGTTCCTGTATTGTGGAAACCCAGAAAACAGATTCATTAAGCATGCAGGGTTAATGCAACCTGTGAAATATAATTTGGTGGCAACTGTGGAAGTAGCTTCCTTCAAGGTTCTTCAGGGCTGCCTCCTGGCCATGATGGCCTGAATGGTGGATCCTTGGTTTATGAGAATGCTTCTGCCTCTCTCCCCACCCCCTGAGACCGTATAGGTCTTCCTGGAGGAAGGACATGGGGATCACTCCAGAGCTTTATTTAGATGCTTGCCCGCTTGTCCAGAAAACAGACAAAGGTAAGCTGAAGTAATAAGGAATCTCTGAGAAATGGCAGCCATTTTGTGGCTAGGCAGCTCTCCTCCGCCCCCCACCGTTGGCATTTGTTCCCAATGTCCCCAAACTCCAAAGATGCCAGTCTGCGGTAAAACATTGGCAATCTTTTTCACTGCCAACCTAAGAAACAGATTGAGCCAAAATCTGACCAATGGACCTCCTTGGAATTTTGAGAACATGTCATGGGTGCCCACAAGATGGCTGCCTTGGTGGATGTGGCCAATCACAACTACTCCATTTCCCAGCAGACCAACTGCTGAGGTTTCTCCTCACTGACCTTCTCTGGCCTTACATAATGCCTTCTACCATCTCAGTTCCTTGTGTCTTTCAATTGGGCAGGGGGACACATTTCCAAGCAAAGCGTTGGCCAACAGCCAGCCATCTTGGACAGAAAAGATGGTGCTGCCTGTTTTATCCAATGTGAGCAAAAGAGAGTCCTACTTTGCTTTGTTGTGTACCTGACGTAATCAATATGAACATGAACCCAAGAAGCACCAAAGAAAGTTCCAGAGGGACACTGGTGTTCAGGGATATTTTGGTCCCTACCCTCACAGTAGTGTAGGTATGTCTCCTTAAGAACATCGGAAGAGCTGCTTTGGATCGAGACGAGACCTTTCTAATTGCAAATCCCATTTCCAGCATTTGTCAACCAGATACTTTGGAAGCCAACTGATATTTAAATATAGGCTACCTGTGTTCCTGGCAGTTGTAGGTTGTCTCCACACTGTATCAGGTCAGTTAAAGATCTGGTGGCTCCATTCATGCAACCTACTAAGGCTGATTCACTTTAACCTTGGTTACTTTTGGGGAGAGAACATGCTGGGCAAACCTAGCCTGTTGGGTTAGATTATGTTCAATCCAATTGTGTGAATATGGGTTCATCCAGTTGCTGGTAGGCATGTTGTTTGAAAGCACCCATGTCCTAGCAGAGGACAGAGTTCTGGCTTCTGATCTTTAGGTGGGCCCTACCATTCAGTAAACATGGCTCTTCAGCTGATTTTGGATGCAGTGAGATAACCTTGTTTGTATAGTTGAAGTCCACACATCTTCAAGCGGCCAAGGTTGAGAAACACTGATATATTGTGTGTAGTATTATATAATATTAGATCTTTGAGCCATGGCAACTCCGTGAATTCCATGTTCTCATGGGTTTTCGACATAGCAACCTAATTCTCTTAATGTCAAGCTTCCAGGGCCACCAGAAATGTTCACCAGGGTGAAAGTGAACACTTCTTCCAGATGCTCTGGGACTAACGCTCCATTGGGGTCCTCTGTTCTGTACCAGAAGAAGCCCCTGTTTGTTTGCTTATGTCTGCCGAAGAACCAGACACGTTTGCAAAAATGAAAACAGGTTCTTCACATGCTTTGGATTCTGCTTTCCCTTCTTCCTTGTTGGTATTCTTTGTAAAAAAAATGGTTTTAAAGTGGACCCTGGCCATAAAATGCCCCTGGCTGATGGAACAAGGAGATACTGGCTGTTCTATCACTGGGTCGAAGGGAGGAATCTTGTAGGCAACCAGGTTTGGCTGGATTCTGGAGATAGTCTTGCCAAGGGAGACAAACTTGACAAACAGAATTCCAAGCCGCTAGGCCTGACTTTCAAAACCTGGTTTTAAATTTGGAAGGCCAGTTTAAATCTTCTGCAAGGCACGTATCCGGTGAGTTTCGCTGCCTACGTCTTTGTCTTCTGAAATGAGGTTCTTTTTGGGGAAAAAAAAATGTTCTAGTCCTCTTCGCCCCAGAGCAGTACAGGCTAGCCCCATAGGACCTGATTATTTGTCTATTTATTTTTGGGGCCAGGATGGGGCTATTCTTTCCTACTTTATTCAGAGGGCCCCGAATGCCCTTCTGATCTTGCTTTTCTTGCTCCTGGGACTTTCCTTTCTTACCGGGGGAGAAAAACAAAGGCGCTGTGCTTGTGAAAAGATCAGATTCGAGCCACCCCACAGCAGCCCTGCTGCAAGCTGAGTCGGGTGTGCGGCTGAATTCAAGTTTCTGTCCTGGGTCTCCCTCCTTCCAGTTCTGGAAGCTGCCGGTCTTTGAAACATAAGATTTGTCGACTCCAGCTCTGCCAGTGCTATTAGTAGTATTATTATCTGCTTCCCCGCAGCCAATCCGGGCTGTGGAAACCTGATGACACCATGAGCTAGGGAACAGCGAGGAGGCAGTGAAGCATCCAGCTATTAATGCTGGATTGGAGGTCAGGAGTGGCTTTTGGGGAACGAGGACCCTTTGGATGGACTAAGCCAGGAGCGTGCCTTCCTCTGTCACCCTCCCTCGCCTCCTCTCTCGTGCATGCCCAGGGTGTCCGCCGGGGTCTTTTTTTTCTTCCTGCCAAGGGGTGGATGGTCTGGAAGCAGTATGACAGGACACACTGCAGGTAATGTCTCCTTTCCCCCCGTGCCCCCCTCCCGTCCCCCCGCTGGGCACCTGCTGCCAAAGGCCCGGAGCGTTTGTGCTGGGTGGTTTGCGTGCTTGACAAAAGAGGAGAGCCGCGAAGACAGACCATGTTTGGCATGGGCGGGGGGTAAACACACCTCTGGCGAGGGGGCCTTTCTTCTGGCTTCGGCGTCGCAAAGCCCTGGGTTTTCGTTGCAATGCCAGGCTTGGCGTTTCTCCCCTCGAGCAAAGTGAAGGGAGGCTCTTTCTTTCTTTCTTTCTTTCTTT